ACGTGTTATTTTGATAAATTTATAGTTTTGATCTTTTTTTGTAGAGTATTTTAACTCGGATTGCTATTTTGAGTAATTTTAGGTTTACCTTTTGTTTTGTTGAGTCTCGCCTTTTTGCGTCTACGAATTGTTTTGGTAGATCTATAGTTTTGATCTTTTATTTTTAGTGTGTGCTTGAACTTGGCTCAGTTCGCGGATTTCCTTCTTGTCGTGCTAGACATTTTAATGGCTTGTTATGGTTGAGAATAATTAGTTTCATAGGTGGTCATGTTTGGGTTGGTAAAACTGACTTTGAGTTTTACCCACACTAAAGATCCTGTTGTGTGCGGGTGATTCTCGTGCGCAACACGATCATGGGCGTTTAATTGGTTCCTTGGTGCTCGCCAAGTGTTTCTGAGCGAGCCACCCAATTTCCCCCTTTTGCAAAACAACGAATGCACTATGGAAACTCCCACGGTCAGCTAACCGAAACATGTCTGTGAATTTTGCATTAAATACGCGGGCACTCCTTGCTAAAAGATGGAAGAAAAGTAGCTGCGGTAGTAGAAGGTTGTAGCAACAATAGAAGAGTAGAGAATAAAGAAGAAAATTACAGGGTTTTGGTACCTTTCATTAATGGCCAAGCGAGTGGTTAAAACCCGTCGTCAATAATTAGGCTTAGCCACAAGTTGCTCGGCAAAGTTTCGGCAACTTTTGAGATTTTCGGCAACTTTTTAGAATTTTGGCAACTTTTAAAATTTTCGGTAACTTTGGGCTTTTTGAGGTTCTTTGAAGCCACTTTCTTCACGTTTTGAGCCCCATTGGTCAGTTTTCCATGGACATTTATTCGATTTATTCTAAAATACAATAATTAGAGCACCCCCATGGGTTGATTTTTGTGATGCCTTATCATGAGGTCAGCGGTATCACGTTGCACGTTTTTCAAGATGGCGGACAATCAAGTGTTAATCAAGTGAAATGGAAAGAACCTCTGATATTATCACTGGACTTTGACAAATAAAGTTTTGATAAGAAGCAAAGTGCGAATTTTTAATCTTTACCACTCAAAAAAGGTAGGAAAGCAGAAACATTTTGGCAACTTTTCGGCAGCTTTTTTGGAAATTCAGCAACTTTTCGGCAACTTTTTGAAAAAAGTAACAACTTTTTGGCAACTTTTAGACACTTTTATCGGCAACTCTTTTGGGATTCATCGGAAACTTGTGGCTAGGCCTATCAACAATAGAACAAATTCATTACTGTTTCGTTTAATCATTTTTGATTTATTTACCTATTGCTTTATTGTTTCAAAACCTGTCGACGCTCGAAATTGTGTCATAACATTTATTTTTATCCGTTTGTTTTCCGCATTTAGACATTGAGCACTTACGACGCAATTAGATATTTCTGCACCTCAATACTCAAAAGAAAAGCTCTGACATCCTAATACCTACATCTAATATGCGATTTCCTTCGATAGCTCAGTTGGTAGAGCGGAGGACTGTAGAGATTAGTTTGATTGTCATCCTTAGGTCGCTGGTTCGAATCCGGCTCGAAGGAAAGATATTTTTGTTGATTGATGAAATTTTTGTGTTGTTGTTTCTTTTCCCCTTGAGTTTTCCTTATTTCGTCATGGAATGCGTTTTTTTTTTTTCGGCTTCTTTTAATTGCAAGAATTAAGGTATCGTTATAATGTATAAGGACTGTAAATCTCCCGAGACATCAATTGCAACGTCCCGCATCTTAAACCTGTAGTTCTATCTCTAGGACATAACTAGTAAAGATGGACGACTAGTAAAGCCGGCAAAATAAATAATGAAAGCAGCAACGCTGCAGTCTATGCTGAGAGCCTCCGAACTGCGAAAAAAGATATTGATGTGAAGTCTGTATTAGTCAATCGATTGGACATTTGTCGGCTGTCCTAACCAGTGAACCTCTACTGACTGTGACAAAGACTACACAGGCTCTACACGACTTTGCTGGGAAGCCTCTACTGACTGTGACAAAGACTACACAGGCTCGACAAGACTTTGCTGGGAAGCCTCCACTGACTGTGACAAAGACTACACAGGCTCTACAAGACTTTGCTGGGAAGCCTCTACTGACTGTGACAAAGACTACACAGGCTCTACAAGACTTTGCTGGGAAGCCTCTACTGACTGTGACAAAGACTACACAGGCTCGACAAGACTTTGCTGGGAAGCCTCCACTGACTGTGATAAAGACTACACAGGCTCTACAAGACTTTTCTGGGAAGCCTCTACTGACTGTGACAAAGACTACACAGGCTCTACAAGACTTTGCTGGGAAGCCTCCGCTGACTGTGACAAAGACTACACAGGCTCTACAAGACTTTGCTGGGAAGCCTACTCTGACTTTGACGACTCACGATGATTCACTCCTAAGAGTCACAGATCTAATTTCTCCTAACAAAATAGTATCTGCTGAATCAAAGTTTAAGATCTTGAGGAAAAGGAAAATGATTACAAAGTAAAGAAATACAAATTATCATTGTCAGTATCATAGGAAACTTTAAAGGGGCAGTATGGAAAATGCACGTACTGGTCAATGGTTGAATTACTTAGAAGGCAAAAAAAATAAATAAAAAAAGAGTTTTAATAAAAAAAAAGTAAAAAATCATTACCAGAACATTTTCGACCATCGCCTTGATAACCGTCTTTGCAAACGCAGACTGGACCAAGCGGCGAGTTTGGTTCGCATGTAGCATCCGGGTGACATCTTACTCCGGCGCATGTGCCATCGGCTGAAAACAATATATTAGAGAACAAGTCCATTGGATTTGCCATCTTACGGATTTAATTCATTCTTAAGGAAATATGCATTAAATAAAATAGCTAACACCACAATAGACAGATAATTCGTAACAAATATGAATTTCCTTGACATAGCTTCATGCTACCGTTTAAATTAGTTAACAGAGAAATTGATTACGGCAGACAGCAAACGGCGAAAGGTTGGAGATCTTGCTGTCCGGACGTTTTCAGCCATTGGGCTGTTTTGACCTTGGCCTTAAAGATGTCCTAAATATATTAGTTTTCCTATTCTCCAACAGAGATGTTTCACTGGTCTGAGGAAAAAGTTCTAAAATAATGAAATTACGGTTTACTTGAGTTAATTTTTACCATTACCTTTCCCATAGAGGTCCTTCTTTCTTTTCGCGAAATGTATAAATTATGTGGAAAGTATATGCAAATATGATTTTTCTCAGGTTCAACACCCGTATGTGAAACGAATTTAGAGCAGGACGAACATTTAATGTTTTTGTAAGCGATCAGAAGAAGACAAAATCATTCGCACTGTCTGGATTTCTAACCATAAAACAAGACAAGAATAAACTCGTTGCCATCTTTGTAAACAGTTAAAGAAGAGCACGTATGCTATGTCACAACAAAGCGAAATCAAAACATAATACAGTCTAAATGCGGTCAAAAGGTTTACTTTTCACAGGACAAGAAACGACAGGAGGGCTTTTGTTTAGATTTGACTTCCGGTGTGATGTAGCAGATTCTATGTCACGCACGAAAAATTGATGACAACAGTGGTTCAGAACGAACGGTAGGCCCGGCCTCGAAAACTCGTAAGATTCAGATTTTTCCTCTTAAAGGGAGATATAAGTGATGTAAATTTTTGTCTTTTTACGCTTACACGGTTAAGTCATGGACGTTAATTTTGAATAGTTTGTTGTATAATCAATAAGGGGGTTCCCCTTGGCTGAGCAGAAACCAAACATTGAATATGGCTGCTGTTTACAACTGACAGCGTTTTGATCATGCTGGAGATATAATAAAGTTCTGCAGCGGATACACTGTTCTAGTTTGAGCAATATACTTGTCTATTGATGTTTGGTAAGGAAATATTGAGACAGGTAACATAATATTTAAATATGGGGCTCCATATTTTGGTTATTTAAAAATTGCTTGTCTCGTAATATATCAAGACTGCTAAAAAAGCAGAATTATCATGAGAACAATGATTGGCCAAACACGTTTAAATTCCTTAGATCGAACAGAAACATTATTTGATGTGTCGGGAATGCACGTTAGAAAATGTAAAGAAAACCACTTGAAGGTACGCGCCGCTTGAGGGCGCATGCGTTATGAGAACAAGTGTCCCATATGAAAGAAATTTCTGACCTTGATCAGTATATACTTCCTCAATTCCAATAAGGATGTGTGAGGTCCGGACCTGGGGAGGGTTATCCTCTACACATATCAGTTGATTATCCCCCCTCCCCGCCTTTAGACCTCATCTTTTTGCCAACATTTCGCATATCTAGAATCGTATACCAGCTAAATGAGCATGTTTGTGGCAATCTCCGCCCGCTCGCAAGAGTTGCAAATGTTGATATACGTCTGTTGGCTGATGTTTCCTCCACTAAGTGCTCAATGCGATTTCAAAGGCCGGTCGCCTTACCAAAGAAGAGCTGTAATCGACAGCGCAAATCGATTCCTAAACTTTAGTAAGTTTAAGATCCAGACAATTCAAACGTATATCAGTTAATTCAAAATAGAAAGACGATCATATCCAGTCCAAACAAGTCTTAGTTAAGTCAGGAGGCTGTGGCTCTGTTTGTAATTAGAACTAGAAGTGGAATATCTTCCCCAAAAATAGAAATGAGAGAGATATTTATTCCACTACACCAGTTGAGTGATTGCATCCAAGCGTCAACTTTCTCCTACGTACGCGAAAAACAGGTTGAGTAAACTGGTTTCTGGTTGTACCATCTTCTCGGTGGTAAAAACAACAACAAGTTACGAATTACATAAGGTAAGAATGCTTCTTTTAAAGCTGTGAATTCAATATCACCTCTGTTTGACTTTAAAATAGGGCAATTTTCTCCTCGATCATATGTTAAATACAAGACATCTTTCGAGTCCTTTGTTTTAACACCTAAACCTAGTTGGATCTCCGATTTGAAGTGGCCTTGCGTGTCGTTCCTACATAGGTAGCTTGATGCTTAATTTTGAAAGGATGGTAATTTCGTAACGAATGTCGGCTTTAGCAAACACAACACTCGTTTGTTCAGTTTAAATAAAGCTTGCAAATTCACAGGACGAAATTTTGTCGAAGACAGATAACGTGGTTATTTCCACGTTATAGTTAAGTCCGTAGACATATTCAGATTCTCCGAGGGGGTTCGGATATGAAAGGATCTTTCTGATGTTTCAAAGGTTCCAACAGCAAGTGAATCTAGTTCGTAAAAGTGAAACAATAACTATGACGTCATGCTGAATGATAAATTGGGGGGTTCCCCGACAAGCTACCCTATGTAGATTCTTTTGAATAACAGATCGAGTGTCAAATTGCAAGCTTTCGTTTGTTTCATGTACTCAATATTTTAAGATTTTTGCTCTGATAACAATGACGTTGAATGTATTACGATGGGACCACAGTTCGAGTTCGTAAATGTTCGAAAGGGATATGAACTTTATGTTGTATCAATCGCTTAAAATCCTGATGTAAATTATCTGATGGCAAAAAGCCTTTCGATGTACATGTAAACTGAAATTACGGTACATCTTTGGAACTCTATGAACCTAAACGAGATACGTGTAAAGCTTCGATCACGAATATAAATATCGCAGGTTGTCACCTGTTGAGATGCAGCTGGATTTGAAAAATAAACGAAAAATACGATTCATACCGCACACGAAATGAAACAACAACGTTAGTGCCATCAATGGCTTAAAACGCTTGCTTTGTCAAACATAAATAAAAAAATATATTGCTCGTATACCGAGATTGGGACTCTCAAGAACGCTATTCTCTAAATACACTTTCACTTTGTAGAGTCAAGGTAATTTCGGCGAATGAAGCGGAGAAAGACCTCTGCATTTACCTTGAATTGCTCGGAGACACTGCATAATTTACTACGAAATAACTACTGCATTTGCATAATGAAAATCTTCGATTATCAGCAATCGTCTGAGAAATCCTGGTTTCCTAACTAGAAACGCGTTCATTTCCATGATTCGAAAGTCGAAACTTTTAGTAGGCATTACTGATCAACAAGAGTGAAAAATATCTAACAATAAAGTGACCTTTGTCCTCCACAACGTCGTCAGCCTGATGCAAAATAAAGGCCGTAACTTGTTGAAATATAAAATATGAAATATGATGTCTCAGTGTAACACCTTCGTACGCAAAGACCCCTTTCTCAAATAGGTTATAGGAAAGGTTTAATTTGTGCAGGAAGAATCCTTCTCGCGACAGGCTTTAAAAGACGTTTATCCAATTTCGTGTCACTGGAGAGAAAGAGCGCATGCGTAAAGAAGAGGATAGCAACAAGTCCCATTAATCAAAGAGTGCGCGCGCTTATGGATATAAATATAACAGGCGTTTCTACATATATTTGAGGTCCGGATTAGGGGAGGGTTACCCCTCATTTGTGACTCGTCACGCCCCTCCCCGCTCATTGACCTCACTTTTGGCTTTTACGATACTGAAAAGCCAACCATTAGTAGCTAACAATGCAAAAGCAACAGGAATGTCAGGGATGGATACAACGAAAAAAGTGACAGTAAACACAGCTACACTGACAATGTATGGGGTACCATTACCGCCAATATACAGCTACTGCTTTTTTTTTTATGAAATGGTGCTTAAGATATGAAGCCAATTATGTTTTATGCAGCTAATCATTTTATAAAATGGTGCCTCAAAAAATATGGAGCGCTTTTTATGAAGCCTTCTTTATGCAGCTAATCATTTTATAAAACGATTAGCTGAATAAAACATA